AGCGGCGGCCAAATCTCCAAAGGGATTCAGCTGAATCGATTTGGGACAGTGATTCGACTACTCATTAACATTGTAATTTATGTTTTACACTATCTAAATTAGTATCTTCTGGCCACGTGAGCTGTCATAATGAACTAATCATATTAAACCTGCTCTGGTTCTGCTCCTTTGGATATTTGTTCACAGGATTGGGATCTATATTTTCAAGAAAAATTCAAAATACTATAAAAGAAATAGTAAAGTTTGTCTGAATGTTTATTGTCCTTAGGTAGGAAGCCTTGAATATCATACTTCCCTAAATTAGGCTCCTACCATTTTGTAGAATCATTGAAAAATAGGGCTGAAAGGCAGCTTAGATGGTCATCTGGTACAATTTCTCTCTCTCTCTCTCTCGCACACACTAGCACACACACACAGACTCACTCCCCCCCCCCCCCCCCCCGATGCATGCACACATATGGTAGGAAATTCACTTTATAAACCATCCCAGCCAACTGTTTCTTCAACAAGTCCTTAAAAACGTAAACGGTGAAGGTTCCACAACCTTATTAGGGATTCTGGTCCAGGACGTAAACATCGTCATAGTTAGAAAATTCTTTTTAATACATAACCTAAATCTCCTTTGTTGCAATTTAAGACTGTATTTCTTTTCCTGTTTCCTGTGTACACAAAGAGTAGTTGATCTCCATCCTCTTGGTAAATGCTTTTTGTATTTGAAGACTATTATAAAATCCCCCCTCAGTCTCCTCTTTTACAAACAGAATAGCCTCTGTTCTTTTGATCTTTCATGTAGCCTGGACGTCTATATGAGGCGCATTCTAGCTGTGGCTTCAGTTCCTATCTATCAAAGTGCTATGTAGAAAGACAGATGGACAATAGCTGTAACCTTTTCAGGGTAGAGAGTTAAAAATATAATTATAGTATTTAGTCATTTCAGAATTAAAACAGCTTTGCAGATACAAAACACTTAACATTTAATGGTTTTGGTTCATCATATTTTAGCTCAGCCTTTTCACAGTAATTCTTCAGTTAGAATTCTGTAAACATTGCTGTGACAAACTTTAAGTGCTACTTGCATTAAATAGTAGCAATTGCTGAGAAATAAGGTATGGGTGTTTCCTACTTAGGAGGTTAGAAATGGAAGCCATTCCTCACTTCTCACTACAAATTTCATTCTCAGATGTTTTAATTTCAGATTCAGAAAATAGAAAATTTTCCAGTTTAGCTTATGGCATATGCAGAAACATTCACAACAAAGAGCCAAATATTTGCAAAGAAGTTACCGTCCTATAAAAGTGGTGTCTTGAAATTGGTACTTAATGTGTTCAGGCTGTTACTGTTTTATTCCAACAAGTAGCCAGTTTGAATTGGTTATTCATATTAAGTAAAATATGCAAGAACTTGGTTTATTAGAATAATTTTTAGTCTGTGTGGCCCAGGGTCACAGACATAGCAAAATAAAAATGAGCTTTAAGAGATGATCAGTGATGGGGAGGGAGTGATGTGGCAGTGTCATCAGTTTTCCTGGATTAGACAAGGTATTTAAAACAGTCTTTGCCATCCTCAGGCTGTTTTTCCGGGCAAACACTGCTGCATCGCTGTTTCATATGCACTCCCATCTGGCTCCTGAGTGGGGTAGTGTAGTCATAGTACACCCATTGTTAGGCTACTTCATTCATTTAGGCCTGTTCACACAAGTAACAACTTTGTTTCTTCTGTTTTAGATTAAAATATACTTCCCTAATCCATTAGAAGTAGCATCATGAACAAAGCAAACTCTCTGTGCCGTTTGTAAACTAAAGACATTGCACTGCTGCTTGTGACAAACCCAGCATTTGCTTCATGTCAGCCGTAAGCATGCCAGGGTATATTAGAGAGGGATTGCTTTTTAGTGGGTTAGAAAATATACCTTTGTTATTAAGGGTACGTGGTTTTTTGATGCAAAAAAGATTGTATAGAAATATAAAGCCTACTTTCAGCTCTTGCTGAGACAAGTTTAAAGGGATAATTTGCTTTATTTTCAGCCCTGGACGTTCTCCTGCCTGCTGTGACAATGAAATAATTATGATGAACCATGTCTACAAAGAAAGGTTCCCAAAGGTAATGAATTATATTTGAGATACCCAGCATCTAAACTAATAGGCAACATAGGTTTTAGGTAGGTGGTATTTTTGTTATGGGAACTAATGATCCAAGCCAGTAATGGCTTTCATAAAGCATCACCAAACTCCTATTAGAAAGATAAAATTACAATAAAAAATTCCCTGCTGAGAACTGGACATTCATTTGGCAAAGCTGCTGAATTCAAGTTCTGAAGTGAATCATGCTGGTAATATATGCTGCTGATTTTCTGGAGAGCTATGATACATTAGCTTTCAATAGGGGGTTGTACAGTTGCTGTAACTATGTATTCAGTGAGTAGAACAGAAAAGGTTTCCTCCACTCAGAATCTTATGCAATATCCAGGGATATGTTTATGGCATGCCTGTTCTTTTGTGGCATTTCTTTATTGCTCCCAAAATGTTTGTGTATCTGTTTACTTTTATTGAGAAGATTGCTGCAAAGTTGAAAGGGCTTCATTTTTTGGGTCCCAAGCAAGGGAAGGCTTCTGCTTTTCCCAAACATAGGAAATATAACTGAGACCCACGGTATACTTAAGTGGGTTGTGGAGATAGCGCCCAGTTCTCAGTTGCTTTTCAGAATCTCACTTCTGTTGACAGCAACAAAAGCTATATCCAAAAATCTTACACTTGCAAAAATAAACTTCCATACAGAAAAACTGAATGCAAGTTATGTGGTCCTCCACAAGTTTAATATTGTGGTATTATCTTTGTCATCTTTTGTGCATAGCACAATTTTAATCCACAGAGTACATGACTAGCAGTGTTCATTAAATAAGTGTAGAGTACAAGAATAGCAGAATTGTTGCTGGTCCATGCTGGTTGACCAATATGAGGAAATTTAGTGTTTGCTACTTGAGAGCTGATTCAGACCAGTATTATTGTTTGCTCATTTTCACAGTGACCTATTTTCACACTGCGTTAAATCTTTAAGCTATATAAAAACGTATTAAATCAAGAAAAATTGTGTTCTGAGATTATAAGAGATTTTCAGAAGACTTATTAAATTCACCTTTTTATATGTATACATATAGGCCACAGCTCAGATGGAAGAACGGCTTCAGGAGATTATCACCAACCATTCTCCTGATAATGTTCTTCCCCTGGCAGATGGAGTGCTCAGTTTCACCCACCATCAGATCATTGAGCTGGCTCGAGATTGCTTGGATAAATCCCACCAGGGCCTCATCACATCACGATACTTTCTTGAATTACAGCAGAAATTAGACAAATTGCTACAAGAGGTATGTGGCATGTCCCACACAAATATTATCTTTTGTTGAAAAAAATTTGCGCTAGGTGTATTTCCAATGAACAACAAATAAATGGCAAAGCGTAAGTTGTCACTGGGTCTATTTAATGTAATGACTTTTGCAGGAACTACAGGCCCTTATAATGTCAGATTGGGATAAATGTACTATAAAGGTTTAGAATATATAGAATGTCCCACTCTGCAAGTTAGAAATTGCTTACGTGAATGTGTGCATGTCCCCTGCAATGAAGGGACCAACTTAGTATGTCTGTTTGGGAATAAATGGGGAACACTTACTCCTTTCAGGATATTTGAATACTAATTACTTGCAGGTGTTGAGACAGCAGACGGCAACTTGTAGTTTTCATTAGCAGCAGGTGACCTATTTAGTTATTTAAAATGATCTCTTACACCATTAAAACTAAGCACTAATACAATGTGGGCCTTCAACAAAGTCGTTGAGAACAGTGTGCTAAATAAGAAAAATGCAAAGCCTGTGTTATTAATAATCAGGAATTTCATTATAACATGGCTGTCTAACTTGTAATTAGCTGGGTACCAAATGTCCCATATACTGCACCATTGGGACTGGCTGCCCACATGTCACATGAGGGTGAGTCATAGGTCCTCCTGGGCCACGTGTCTCATGGGAGCCTCCTCTGCCCCCACAATACTTCACTGTGTACCTTTGTGGCTTGGGCTTGTGTTCAGCTCCCTGCCCCCACAGTGCTGCACTGTATTGCCCTTCCCCCTTGGGTGGGGGCAAGCAGTGAAAGCTGGAGGAGGGATGGGGAGGCCAGAGACTCCAGCTGGTATTTCAGCTAGAGTGATAGCGGGAGCGGCAGCCCAGCAAAAGCCTAGCAGTTGCAACGTAAACCCTTGCAGGTCACACGTGGCCGTGGGCTGCCAGTCAGCTGGCCCTGCACTGTGATATGAAGATCACCAAACTCATAAATATTCCTTTTCAAAACAAAAGACCTTATCGTACCCTTGATCTATAGTATGGCAGTTGTTCATGTGAATCACTGATCCACATCCTCTAGACTGGACCAGTAGATTTCATATAGTAAATTTTGCCAATTGAGATTTTGTTGAGATTTAAGTTTTACCCTAAACACAACAACATTTAATAAATAAAAAATAGAGGGTTGTAAAAGGTTTGGTTGTTTAAGCCTATGTTGGCTTGATAGCAACTCCAAGACTGTAAATATTCCTTTTCTTCTACTTTTGCTTGTACCAAATTTCTTTTTGGACTAGTTTTTTTGGAGACTTTTTTTTCAATTTTTCCCTATTATTCCAATATGGGAACAATAATACAAAAATAGCATGTTGTTTCATTTTTTGCATGGTTTCAGGGAAGGAAGTGAAAAACAATGTGGAAAAAAGTTAATTTAAGTAACAAACTTTATTAAAAATGTATTATATTTTTATAATGACACAGTACACATGAAATTACATAATAATTACTTAGAGATATTTACTTGACTCTGAACTACAACGTTCTGATACTGATATTACTAAAGTATGAAGAAATGCCTCTAGGGGTATACTGAATATACAATAACCAAGATTGTGGGGTTAAAATTCACTGTTGCTGTAGAAAAATCTTCTGTGAACTATTTTCCAAACCTCATTTCACAATGTGTCAGCTGATTAACAAACAGAAGCATGTGTATACCCTCTTAAATAGAGTACTTCATTTATAAACATTTTCACCTATTTCTTTTCAAAACATTAATGCTAGGGACGACATTCAAAAAGTCTGAGCCTGAATTGATTCAATTTTTGCAGGTTAGTCTAACCTGGCTAGGCTAAATCAGTTTTGTAACCAGATAGACATCCCAGAAATGCAGGCACATGTCTGCAATGGCTCAGGCTAGAAGTCCAGGGGTGCTAAAGCAGCCCTTCCTTCCTTCCTTCCTTTCCCAGCATGGAGCTGAGTGGGGCATGGCTGGGCTCTGGCGCGAGCTCTGATCAGTCCAGCAGGGAATTGATAAGTGTTTATCACCCAATTAAGAAAACAGAGGGGCATTACCATCTACTTGTTGATTCTGCCTGTTGATTCAGCAGGGACCATAGCCAGCACATGGTCTGTTTGCTAATACACAGACACCTCCTCAGCAAGACAGGGGAGGGGGGAATTCCTGGTTAGCAGGCAGTGGCGAGTGGAGGGGGGAAGCCTTGGGCTAGGGACAGACATTACTGGTCAATAAACCAGTTTAAGTGACCAGAAACTGGTTTAAACCTGTAACAGAACAGACATTCAGTGCACATAAACCAGTTTGGAAATAGCTGAAACTGGTTTGATATCAACCTGTTTGAATGAAGCATCAGACTTAACTGATTTGGGTCATAACTGGTTTATGCAATGTCTGTCGCAGACCTCTTCCTGGTTTAACTTAACCAGAGTCTTCCAGCATCCCAGATGCTTTGCAGCACTGGACAGGCCTCTCTGCTCCAGAGCAGGGATGGCCCCACCCCTCTGCTCCCTAGCTGGAGCTCTGGTGGAGGCTGCAGGCACAGTAGTGTCTGCCTGGCTTCCCCATGCTTGCCCACCCCAATCCTTGTTCAAGCAGGCTTTCCCCCTTCCCATCTCCTACAGCACGGACCATAGCCAGCCTGTGGTGTATTAGCTAATGCTGACAGGTGTCTGTGTAAGCAGATAGGACAGTGTCCACTTAAGGATTTTTGGAGCTAATCAACAGGTAATGTCCCTCCGTTCCTTCTTTGGAAAAAGTTGTTTAAGATGAGCTTGAACTAATTAAAAGAGGCTTTTGTTTTCTTGATTTGGTGCTAAATGCTGTGTTACTCCCTGTGTAACTCCCTGCTGTATAACTAAACGCTGTGTAACTCCCTACTGGCTCCCTCACTGGTCAGGAGCAGCGAGGGGGTGGGGTGGGGCGGGGAGCCCCTCCCTAATCAGAGTGTCCTGCTGGAGCCTGGCCATACCCCACCCCCCTCAGCTCAGCTCAGCTCAGCTCTAGGGAAGGGA